AGGAAGGCAAAGAGTTATGAACTGGATGAGGGCAAGCCCTCCCAGGGAAAGAAGAGAAAAGCTTGAAGACACACGTACATGCCCTACAGGGAAGCTTTCAGATCAAGATCCTTTCTGACTCATTTCTGGTGTCAGCTCAGTGTAAGCTAATGATCACTTTGATTTTTCAGAAGAAGACAAAATTTCTGCCAACTGATTAGTACAGCTGCGCAGAGCATGTTAACCACATAGAGGCCTGATTCTGTCACTAGTAGCAACCAGCCTTGCTGCTCTACCTGCACCTCATTAAAGCCGGGGGGCTTCCTGCAAACTGAAAAATCTGCTACAGAGACTGCACCTCACAGGACCTGCATGCCTCCAGTAGGATGCCCAGTCTCTCAGGGAGCCAAGTTCGGGTCATACCTTCCTACTGCTGCAAAACTGTGACCAACACTAGTCGTGCACCACAAAGTCAATGAAAAGCAAAATCTCAACTTTCAGTTTCAAAGTTATCCTTCACCTTCAAAAAGAATTCCCAGGAGAATTCTCTGACTGCTTTCAGCTGTAATTTCGACCATCAGCCTCCTTATGCTACCCAGCATGCCTGTCCTGTACTTCACTCAGCTGATGCAAAGCTTAGTGGCTGCTCATGAGGTCTTGCCTTCGATTTGTGCCAGCCCAGACAACTTATAACTAATGAGGATAATATTGACACATATTCCTCTCCTCTGAAAAGAAATGCATGCACAAAGCCAATGCTCAGCAGGTATAACACCCTCAGGCCTAGACAGGGACCATGAAGGAACCAAGAGGAGCCCCCGCTGGAGACAGCTCTCCTGCTGCATTCCCTGGCCATCTGGGACTGCAGCCTTGTGCCTATCAGCCTAGAAAGGCAAAGCCCAAGGGATGCTTCCTAATGAACCTTCTCAGAAATGCGATGAATCAGAAGCAAAAAGGAGTATCGGGTGACTCCTTGGCAGAAAGGCAACTGGTGGGATCCCTTTAGAAGTTTACTAGCCTTGCACAGTACATGGCTTGCCAAGGAGCAAGCTGCCTCCTGGAGCTCTCCAATGCCTCAAGACCTCTACATGCAACCAAGATTTTTCAAACCTCTCTTCCCCATCAAAACTTCTTGCTCCTTAACAGCCAAGCTCACCAGCACTTCATTGCACCTTCTCATTGAAGTTGCCTTGCATCCACAAAGACAAACATTAGTAAGTGGTCATATAGCTGCAATTTAAAAATAAAATACACCGCCCCCAATAAACTAAGAGTGATGATGAAACAGGCATTTAGTTTAATTCAAAACCTGAGTTAACGTATCAAGCTCCTAATCAGAGAGCACAAGGTTGACCAAAGAGAAAATCCTGTTTAGTTCTCTCTCTGCATTTTCTCTAGCAGAAATTAGAACCAGTGAAACAAGTGTAATTTACTACAATTTAATTATTCAGGGAAGTGTCCTCTCTACTTTCACTTGGTGTTACTCCAATAAAAGTTATTGAATTTTTAAAAAAAGGAAAATCAAGAACTTGTGAACTGACATGGTAAAAAAAAAACATACACCAGTATTTTAATAGACAAGGAAAAATTCTTTATTTTAACAAACATATTATAAAATTATGGTTATTTTTAGCCTATCATTCACTTTCCTTTTAAGAATGCATTTCTGGTATTATGAAATATAAGGTTAAATTAACACAAATGGTGATTTATTATTTAAATTATACTTAACACTTGTGATATAGTTCACTCTCTTTTGGTTTTCTAATCAATTCTTAGAACTCCTTACGTATACAACCAAAATTAATTTAATTGAAGCTCAGCTTAAGCACGAGTCTTTAGCAGATTTCTGCAAACTGTCCAAGCATGTTTGCACTAGGAATGTATCCTCCTGCTGCCATACTAGAGATAAGAAGGGACTTTCTGACTCCCAAAAGAAGACCAAACATTCAACTGAATATCTCAGAACCCACTAGTTTTCCAACCATGCTTATAATTTACTAAAATACCAGCATTTTTTTCACCATCATTTTCCATTTTTCTCCTGTTTTTCCATGAAGCGTGCTTTATGTATGAATGCCTATGGCCAAAAATTGTCACAAGCTTTTTGTGGTAATTCACTATTCAATTAACAAATTATGTCTTAAGCTTCAGCACACATAAAATCAAGCTATTTTAATTTTATAAGCGTATCTATAGAAATATTTTAGGACATTTTGAAATACATATAAGTAGTACACTGTCATGGGAAATATCTCTGTGCTTTCCTTATTTTCATTTTCCTGGAAGAATATAAAATTGCAGTTGTGTAGTTCATACCTAACAGCAATTTATATGAGATAAAGAACAGTTTAAGTTCCTTTCAACTGCACAATATAGAATTAACCACCTTGTGGGGCCATGCTTCATTATTTTCTCATCTTCAAGGCTGACGACATTAAATCTCCCTTGTAATTTTTAAGCTCTTTGACAGATGCAGTGCAGGATACAAAACCTTAAATTACACAACCTTGAGAACAAATAATAATGTAGCTATTACATGTATTAGACTGTTAGTTCATGTATTATGTAGTACATGAAGTAAACAATTAGTTGAAAACAAATAACTTTTCAGTTTTCCATTAATTCGTATACATTTTACTTCAGTATTATCTGTTACAAAAGATATACTATCATGATGATTTATTATCAAAGTTCAAAGCTGGAGTATATCTCTTAGATCTGGAGACGGTAGTAATGAGGTATTACTAATGTCTTGAAAATAATCATTCATATGGTGGACGATTCTGCTTTAAACTGTGTAGCTAAAAGCAATTACAGAGAACGTTTTAATATTTCCATTATTGAGTCCAAAACAAAAAACATGCACATTTCAAAAGTTTTCATTTTCTCAGTTGAAAAAAAATCTGATATATTGTTAATCTATGGAGTATTTGCTGCACTGGGATCTATCCTTCTAGCAAAGAAAATCTTAGAAAACTACGCTACTTTGTCATCATCATCACACAAGCTTTGTAGGTGACTATAAGTACTATCATGCATTTTTTGTTGACTCTTAAGCATTTTCATTTTTATTGCCCTTAAGATAAAGTTCAGTGTGTTTTATTTGAAGTCATGCTCAAACTTTTAAGACCTGCTTTTGCCTTGTATCTGGCAACCCACTATGATTAACTGTGAAATTTCTGCATAAGCTACAGCAAAGCTGAAGTGACACGTTCCTTCACTGTCTTCACTGAACCAAGCAGCTCATTTCTCCTTTCCACCTAGAAAGCATTAAGGGCTGAGTATTCTGTACCACAAAGAGAAGGTGAGGTACACCTGACATGTCCAGGTGTTCCCTAGCTGGCAGCTGTGCAGCCAGAATGACAAACCCTATGGGAAGAGCATGACCTTGAGATGGCCAGGCCCAGCCAAAACAACCTTTGCCACTACATTTCCAAGCCTTGTGGCAAGCACTGGCTGAACCTCTGCAGTGAATGTCTCTACTCACAAAGCCATTAGTATACCTTTCTAGAGGTATTTTTCTTGAGTGACAGCATCCAGTCAAAGTTTAAAAAAGCAGAGAGAACAGGGTTAATGCAATCTTTTAAAGGGCAAAAGTGAACAACCATTTATGTTCTTTTGTGTGGACTTTATTGCAACCTTAGCTAGAGACACAAGGAGAACCTTTTATAAAATTATTTTTAGGGTATGACATTTTCCTCTTAGCTTTGAGTTTAGTTTTTATCAAAAGATTTAGTTTCTTTGGGTTGCCTTGATCACTGAAAACAAGGTTTAAGCAACAGTTCCACTAAGCACAGCTTAGTGCTGCTTTTCAAAGTTTGTTTGGCTGAGTCAGCTTTTACCTTACTCATATAACAAATCAGAGACTGTTAGTGAGGAAGCTGTAGAAAAAGACAGTGTAGCATGAATTCTTCATCCAATATCCTTGTCTCTAGGAGAATTTGAAATGAAAACTTGCAGACTATTTTTTAAAAAAAAAGTTATTTGCAATGTAATTAAGAAAAAAATCTCTATTTTTAATTAGTTTCTGCTCAAGTTGGAAGGTTGTTTTTTTTATACATATATGTGTGTGTGTGAATGGAACTCCACCATGTCCACATGAATAGTTTATACATTATAATAAACTGGGATGAGTTTATCGCAGTTCGTGTTACAGTATAGCAAGACTGCCTCCACATGTGCTCTGAGTGAGATATTGGATGGATTTTTTAGGAAATTCAAAGCATCAGCAAAGGCTAATTTCACTTACTTCACTCCCGTCAATCTCAGGCGGTTCTGTTTTTTTTACTGGCTTGTAAAGATGGCCAGTTTTATTAAAGTAGAAGGACTGACTTCCTGCTTGTTTTCAATTTTGTGCAATAAACTAGGAACAGATCATAACCATTTCTCTGTAGGAAATTGAAGCTATCTCCTGTCCAAAGAAAGGAGCCTGTTGCAGAGACCTCCAGGTGAGCTGCCCTGTGCACAGCACACTGCTGTGCAGAGACACCACCTCACATCCATCAGCCACAGCAGCCAGCACAGAGTTCGCCTGGATGGCTCTCAGAGCCAGCGCTGTCCTCTGCACCCTTGCTGCTCCTCCAGCTCCAAAGGCAGCACACAGCACAGCTGTCTCTTCTGCCCACAGAATACTTATGCCCTGATACAAGGTAAGCTATATACTAGGAAGGTATTGACAGCTCTAAATTAAGTCTCAAACTTTCCTTGGTTATTCCCAATTGCTTTGTGTTTGAGCTTGTGCCTGTCAAGCTGGCTTACTTGTCTTTTTCTGTATCAAAATGAAAGCATGGCTAGTTTAAAAGGGCTGACAATAAAATCCTGTAAACTAAATGAAAGAAAGCAAAACAAAAACCCTACCTCAGCATAATCGTCTCTCTACAGCACGAGAAAGAAAAAAGTGACAGCAATGCCCAGATTTTTAAATTATCTTTATTGATTCATTCTGAGTTGTTTACTGAGATCTAGACAAAACTTTACTGATACCTTAACCAATAATAACTGTATTAAAAATTCAGCTGGGTGGAGGCAGATATCCTAAAAGGTATCTTTTCAAAAAGGGAAGAGTTTGCAGAGCTGCCACAAGGCAGTATATTCACCCTTGAATACACCATATGCATTTCTGCATGGAGGTTGAAGAGTCCAGCACGGGCACTCACTCTGCTGGTTCTGCCCTGCTGAAGAAAAGGCAGATAGAAAAATTTATTGTTGTTACTAGTCAGTTATGATTTGACTAGCACAAGGAACTTATTTTTTGAATTATCTTAAAATCATCACATTTCAAAGTAGAACCACACTTTAAATATAGGAAATGTTATTTGCTATGTATGTATTATGTTATTAAGCATAATTAAAGTTGAAAGCCACAGAACCACATTCAAAGCTACTGCAAGACTATAGAACATTTCTGTGGCCAACACAATAAAGTACCATATGCTGGAGAAGTCTGCAGCCAAGAAGTAATACACTCAGTAGCCTAAACTACAGCATGCTGTGGGACAGTATCTGCTAATCTCTCAAAAAAAATGAGTAATGAAGAATTATTCCAAGAAACAACTATGTCACTGCAAACATCATCATTTCTAGACTGCTAAAAACTGAATCTAAACCTTGGAGAACAAACCTTCTCTTTTTATGGGTGCAAAATTCTACAGTGTCTTGTTTGAGGCATCTCAAAGATATCATATCTAGCTAAAGTATTTCACCTCTTGACTTTTCTAGAAGCCTTGCTGTGATTTTTTCAGGCACTAAGTCACACAGAATATTCTATGTTTCCTTTGTACTCCTCAGAAGTAGACAACAAAAGGTTTTTTTCCCTTTACATTATGTTTTATTCATAACTGTTGAAAAGAAAAATTGAAACTCTGGTGTGAGTCACTCTTTAGACTTTTCTATTAAAAAAATGAATCAGAACTGTAAATGGTTTCAGAAACAGATACCCAGCACCAGCACTGAAAACAGAGTGAAAACTAATGTCAACCTGGAAAAGGCAGTTCCAGTACAATTTTTTAAAATGCAACTGAAATGACATCTGATTTGCCACTAGAATTGTTCACTGGTGAAAGAAGGGCTCTCTGAGACAAAGAAAATAGTTGCAGACTTCATCAGACTCCAGAAGAGACGTGGTTCACAGTATCCTCCTCCCAGCAATTCTGGACTCTGAGCACCTTCAAAGGAACAAACTCCCCCAGGAAAGGTCACCACTGGCAAGAGTGCTGCAAACATGATCCACAGTGGCTTTCCCTCAACCAGAGGCATCCTATCTGTCCCACAGCCCAGAGGCTCTGGGATGTTTCTCATTTAAAGGAGAGGTTTTCAGTCTGTATTGGAACAATCCCATTTCTTGACCTGCACAGCATTGAAATTATGACAACAGGATCTTGCCTCTGTTACACTATTTCTGATACTCTGATACTTGGTAAAAATGCCCTCTAGGCCAGAGGATATATGTACTGAATGTACAGCATGTACTGAACTGTGGCTGTTTTCATTCTACGTGCATAGGTAATCATGAGGAATAAATCATACCTTTGAGAAGCTCTATAATTTCATCAGCTTGTATCTGCAGCCAGATTGTTCTCTAGATATGTGGAACACAAAACTTAAGCTCTTCCAAAGCAAAGGGCCAAAGAGCCAAAACACACTCTCTGAAGAAGTTGCTATCTGAGCAGTTCCCTTTCCTCTAGCTCTGCACAAATTCAACTAATAAAATTTTGAAAATAGATGTGTATTTTTTTCTGGGGAAAAAAAAAGGAGGAGGAAGGGATCATAGAGGCTACAAAGTTAGAACAGCTTCTATAGAAATAGATCACCAACCAAGAAAAATAGAATAGTAATGAGATGTTTGGTCAATTTATCATCATTTAGATTACACTACTGGTATAAGCTTACATGTGAATATACCACGGCTATGATAAAGACAATAGAAAAACCCACATGTAAATAAAAGTTAATTACATTTAAAATAAAAATTACTTACAGTCTTTCTTTCTTTAGGTTGCACCTGTGAATTTATCACTAGGGGTTATTTCCAAAAGAAGAGGCACCCCCCACTATTCTCTACAAAGTGTGGACAGAGAAAAAGAAACATCCACATTCCTTTAAACACCACAAAACAAAACAGATAAGAAACCCCAATAAGCTCATATTTAGATAAATAATATTACATTTATGTCATGTACATTTTATATCCACTGAATTTTAGCCTTAGAATGTTAATAAAAACCATCCATAGTTCACCCTGCTTTAAAAAGTGACAACTGATAACAGGAGCATAGTGCATTTTATGCACACTATTTATCCACTTAAAAAGTGGAGGAGGGAAGAAAGTAAGGAAAGCAATAGGGGCCTGATCCTGTTCCCATGAAAGAAAACGGGAAGCTTGCCATTAACTACAAGATGCTGGATTGTGCCTTTGGTTTGCTGGCAGAACTGTATGGTAATTTTGTCGTTTCTCTTGTGACGAAAACACAGTCATTTGCTGCCCTCTAGAAGCAGACTAATGCATATACTTTACAGAATCACAGAATCACAAAGAATTACAGAATATGCCGAGTTGGAAGAGACTCACAAGGATCATCAAGTCCAACCCCATAACTGACCACCCCCAAGAGTCACACCATGTGCCTGGGAGTATTGTCCAAAAGCTTCTTGTACTCTGTCAGCCTTGGTGCTGTGACCACTTCCCTGAGGAGCCTGTTCCAGCACCCAAACACACTCTGGGTGAAGAACCTTTAATATCCAATCTAAACCTCCCCTGACACAACTTCAGGCCATTCCCTTGGGTCCTGTCACTGGTCACCACAGAGAAGAGATCAGTGCCTGCTCCTCCTCTTTCCCTCAAAAGGAAGTTGTAACTGCAATGAGGTCTCCCCTCAGTCTCCTCTTCTCCAGGTTGAATAGACCAAGTGACCTCAGCCACTCCTCATATGGCTTCCCCTCAAGGCCCTTCACCACCTTCGTTGCCCTCCTTTGGAGGTTCTCTAATAGCTTAATATCTTTCTTATATTGTAGTGTCCAAAGCCACACACAATATGCAAGGTTAGGCCACCCCAGTGCAGAGCAGAGCGGGACAATCCCCTCCCTTGACCGGGTGGGGATGCTTTGCCTGATGCCCCCCAGGACACAGCTGGCCCTCCTGGCTGCCAGGGCACTGCTGACTCATATTCAGTTTTCTTCAGTACAGGCCTTTTTGCTGTAATTTTAAATATGTACATAACAAAAATGCCTGGCAATGTTGAAGGACTAGAGAGATGTGAAGAACTATGATGTACTGAGAATTCTGAAGTGTTCCCCAATTTCACAGTCATTTGCTAACATGATTGTTCTGTTTGAAACATGGAATAGTGTTATTTATTTCTCTTGGGATTATCAGTTAGCTTTCAAGAAGAAATTAACTCAGATTATTGCTTTATCCTGCTTAATAAAACTGAAAATTAGCAGAATAGAATCATGCTTTTTTTTAAAGCCCATCTCTCACCACACTGATGCAGGCCACGGAGAGGAATGGGAGATTCACCAGGTCAAAATAAGTCATCAAGTTTCAATTATGTGCAATGCTTTGATAGTTAATCTTTTATTGCCTCCAAAACTAGTAGCAATCTCATTCATTAATAATGATTATTTGCTTGTCAAGTGTTTAGAAATTTTTGTTCCATTTTATTTTGATTTTACTAGTAGGAAAAAAAAGTCTCAAAAGTGCTGGGAAGTATCTGGTTTCCACCAACTCTCCAATGACCTAGGAGTGATATTTATTTTAAATTTAAGTAAAAAATAAATAAGACAACCCACAAACCTTCTAACCTCTACTCCAAAAAGTTAAAGAATCTAACAAAGCAATGAATAACACTCAAATGTCAGCTACTATTCAATCATCATTGTATAATGCAATTTGATTACAAGTATACAGTGTTTGTAAGAGTTTTTTTTTTTATTTTCATTACCATCACCAGTGGATTTTATGGGTCAAATATTCAAAAGCAGAAATATTGTTCTAGTACCAGTCCACAAACAGCCAAGTGCCATTTATTTAGATTTCATCCATACTTATGTCATGCTCATTGCTATATTATGTCCCCTGAAGTGATGAAGGACTCGCAGACCAAGTCTTAAAGAGCTAAAAAGTTCTTGGTTTTCCTTACATCAGATTAATTATATCAAAAAAATGCCCACTATCCTATATATGCATTAAGCTACCAAAAACGTGATGTATTCATATTTACCAGCCATTTTAAAAAATTTTGTCTTAGAATCATAGAATTGTTTAGTTTGGAAAAGATCATTGAGCACAACCATTAATTGACAACCAATGAGCACAACACTTGCTTCTTTTCTCAGTACTTGGATAACAAATACAAGAAGGACAGCTTTACAGCTTTAAATCTGAAGTTAGATACTCATAAGAATCAAACTGAATTGTGCTAGATATCACTTCAGAGACAGATAGAAACCTCCAAATTAAGAATTTGATTGGTGAAATATATTTCTGACATCTCATTTAAATGTCAAAAGTTAGGTAAAGTGAATCTGTAGCTGTTTCCACCTCCTAATAAACCTTAGTACTGCCAATGTTTCACACTTTCCAGAATGAGTCTTTGAAAAGTGCAAATCAAAGATTCAAGAATTCCTTTCAAATACACTCTTCCCCCTAACCAGATCTGTGCTATTTTTATTTCTAATTGACTTACCTAAAATCAAACCTTGTTTTAAACTCAGGTAAGTGGCAAGGTCAAGACCAAGGATCTAAGAGCTTAAACAGATTTTCTGTGAATAAAAATTAGTTGAACAGTCTTCCAAAGAAAGCAGCAAGATAGAGTTTAATCACTTTACTTTGATTAGTTGAGCCAACTGCAAGGCCAGTAAATATATATACTCCTACACTAAACTACAAGCATAAGGTGAGTCATGCATATGTTGAGGACTTTGCACACCAATCCAGATTAACTATTTTAAATACCCTTAAAGAATGAATGTCAAGACAGGTACTCCCAAAGTTTTCCCAGCTTGCTGGCTATGGAGTTTTCAGCTAAATAAAGCATGGCATGGATGCCACCAAGTGGTAGCTATTATCACATACCAGTATCTTCAGCATGACCTCACTCCAGGCTGCCACTTCAGCTGCAGAAAATAATCCTGGTACAGCCATTTGTTGGGAATGGAATATTACTACTGTAAAAAGAAGAAAAGAATTCACTAAGGATAAAACTTGATTCCTACTGCTAATGACAGAAATTGTCACAGACTTCAATGAAACCAATATCAACTTCCTCTCAAAGCCTCATAAAACACTACTAATCTTCTGAGAGCAAATCTGAGGTTGCTCAAAAGACCACATCTGCATTTCAGGTTTATAGCAAACCTGCAAGAGAGCTCCCAGGTGCACGTGGAAGAGACCCTCTGGGTATACCTGCTTCTTTGGGTATATCTACACTGCTAAATGTTATAGGGCCATGAGACAAACCCAAGTATTGCTTAATTCGTTTATCACTACCCTACCGTTGCCAGTTCCAAATTGTTCTCTCTCAGACAAAGTACAGCCACAGTGCTGGGAACACTTTACTCCAGGGAATGATCACAAAAGTCGGTTGGCTACAACTGCACCAGGTTTGCTGTGCCCATTCACTCTGCGATTGACTCCCTCCATTCACTACCATCCTTCAACATTATTGCAGCAAGTTTTGCCTCTCAAATATCTCATAAACCATATCCCAGGATATATATAGCCTCACTTCCATGCTATAAGAGCACTCATGAGGGCTATTTCATGGCTTTGCATTATTTCAGTCACAGTGGCGCCTCAAGAGACCCACAGGAGACATCCAGGCACACAGTACAGAGGCAGGCAGCCTGGTCTACTACCAGTACTGAGGTAGCAATTACAGTAAGGGCATAAGACAACTCCTGCCACTTGTTGCTGGGATCTCTGGGAAGCACTTGGTTATGTGAGAAGCAATTTAGGAACACACCCTGTGGACAACCTCATTCTTAGAGAGCAGTATAGACATCTTTCAGGAATTCTGCCATGACTACCAGTATAAATCTGGCATAGAAGACATGAAGAAACTTCCATCAAAGGTATTGCACCTGATACGTGTTGCAGATACCTGCAGATACATGAGCTCCATCCATCTTATCAGTCTTCCAGCCCAACCCACTTCAGCTGTGAAGGATCTAGGAGAAACTCCCTACCTGCTGAATGGGGCAAACAAAGAACTCTATACTCTCTGCTCTACTTCTCAGGCAGCAAAGTGACTTGCCACCAGTTTTGTATTTTAACACATATGAAATTGAAAAATAATAATTCTGACCTGCTAATTCTTATTGACTCATACTTGTTTCAATAATAAAGTATGTCTGGAAAGTAACTATTAACTAATTAAAATTATGTACTATGTTAATAATACAAGTGTCTATTTAATTAATGTGTTTATTATCACAGTTATCTGAAAACAAAAGGCAGATTAGATTGCTTCTGGCACTAGCCTGAGGGGAATGGCAAAACAGCCTGGCTCCACTGCCTACCTTCATCAATCAGAGCCCTGGAAAGCTGAGCAGGCTGTGACAGTGCTGTCACTGAAGGAACAAGGGACAATGCTGCAGAAAGAGCAGCAGACCTGCTCTCCAAAATTGATTTTCCTCACCATCTATACATTTAGTTCAAATAAATTTTTTGGTTTTTACTAAAGATTTCCATGGAGACATGTAGTAATAGTCTCCTTCCAAGAGTCCCCTCTGCCCTGTCTTTCCAGCAGCACAAGCAGATTGGCACAGGCCAATTTGTCTTCAGCAATGTTCACAATGTGCCTACACGGCTCAGGAACCTTGAGCAGGCTTCAGTAAAGCACTCTGACAGCATAATCTAGGATTTCTACGTTGCTACCAACAAAAACTGGAGCACCATTTGTTGTCACTAATGAATCAGAACATTCAGAATCATCTAGACTGCAGATCCAAGAAACAGATGTTTTCCAACACCTTCCCTGGCATATGAATCAGTACTCACTACACGTGACCGAGATCATGGTCTGCATCACAACAAATATGAATACCTTAAATAGAGTATCAGGCATTATAAAACAGTGTCAACACAGAACATCTTCATCTGTCCGTATTCAAGCAGTAAATCTCAATGATAAACTGGATACAATGTAGATTAGTAAGGCTGGGGAAACAAGACAAGAATACAGGGTTCTTCTACATAAGTGAGAATCTGGGAGGAACAAGTCAAAGTTTACATGGCAGAAAAAAGTGAGAGTAAGACTGAACTTGTATAGCAGCATATTCCAGACATATTTTGCATTTTCCCTTTAAACTCAAATTGCATAAAGAGAAGTACAGGAGCAGAAATACTTATACAGAGGTAAGCAAGGAACCAAACAAAAGAACTTCTCTTAGTTTATAAAAAATATAACACCATAAAAGCATGAGTGCATGTACTGAACAAGATCAAAGACCCTGCTGGCCCAGCATCCTGCCGCTGACAGAGGCTAAAGCTCTTTTACAGAACTAAGAACACAACAGGCAAATGCATAAATCATTGAGAGGTTTCTATGCTCTCACCAATACTGACAAAATGGATGACAGAAGGTTATACCAGCCCGTGGGTATTAGCCTGAGGAAACAGTGTTTTATGGTTTTTCTAATTATGTTGTCTTTTTCTCCCCTAACAAACTAACTGATTTTTAATTAAGATATCTGAAACTTGTTGAAGACTTGTGCATCAGGGAAGGATGGCTCCCATAAGCTGCCTCTTGTTCTTGAGAAAACACAAAGCTAGGAATAAGAGTGGTCTAGTTCCTGCATTAAGGGAACTGCAGACGCAAAGTGAAATAGCAGGAAGAGGGAAACTGTTACAGAAGGAGAAAACGCTTGACATTATTAAATCTCAAAGAACAATCTCTTGTATGCTAAAATTAATGGGGTTTGACATTCAAAGTCTACAGTGATTGCCTTTTGATACATAGAATAAGATTTGATAGCATAGGTGGACACGAAAATGGAAAGTTATAAAAAAAGTTTAAAGGTTGCAAAAAATATTCTAAAGTCACAAAACACACTATGAGAAGAGAAGTAGTCACATGAATATATAGGCAGCTCATCAACTACATACAGAGACTTAATCACGTAAACTGCAGTGCACAGATGAATCTCTGGACCTGTATGGATCATTTTGTAACTACTATCATCATCATGGCGAGGCTTCGCGAACGAAGATTTGGGAAGGCTCTATCCACATTTGCTACA